TGTAGATGCATTCACCATCAGGAGTGAAGGCAGGCAGGCGAAAACAGCACTGCATCTCCTTCGGATCCCTTTCTGTCTGGATTGCTGCCAGAGGTGTTGCCATCTGTGAGGGAGGAATCTTCCTTCCCCAGCTGTTAACCCTTCCAGGAAATGGCCTCACCCTTCACCCAGAGCTTTGCCTCTTAGTTAAAATCAGATCCACTCAAGATGACAACCAAAACCAATCATCGCAACTGCTCTGGTAAACTATGGCTGAATTTGCATCAGCTCTCCATTTAGTTTAATAGCATTGCTCATAAAGATCAAGTCTATACCATTCTACTGTATCCCCAGACTAAGAAGGACAACTCCTAGTGTTTGATATGCCAACTTTTAAAAACTCTTAAACACTTCTTGAAACTATAGAAAAACAAAATTGGCATCCTGACTCTGAGTTAATATCTTATTTATTCTCCAGGAAAATTTATTCTAGGACTGCTCTCACATCATCCCTGTCACTGTCTATAAAGTAGAGGGAAATGTCACTGTCTTTCTCCTAAAGACTGTCACTGCGACATACTGGTGAGACCTCTCCATCCCTCAAAAGTTCCAAGAGGGTTTAGCTCATCAAGACAAGCAGTGACTGTGTGATATATGTACCTGAGCAGATGTCCATGTCCACCGTCTTACATGAATAGAAATTCCAGTGTTGGTATTTGAATATTTAATAGGAGATCCCATTAAAAGCTATTTATCCTTAAAATGACCCTATGTTTTTCACAATCCAATTATCCTACGCATGAGAACTATTTTTATTCTATCATTTTCCTTTTCAAAATGCAAGAACTAATTAATTTGCCTCCTCGAGATATTAATTAAGGTTCAGTTCTGTAACGTGTTAAGATGCTTTCAAAGTTCTCTCCCGGGGTCCATGTCATGCTAATCCAGTGAGACAGACACTATTGTCTTCACTCCACAGGTGAGGAAAACAAATTTCCGAAGGTTCCCATGACAAAACTAAACCAGAACGTTCTCAAGTGCTCCTGGCACAGGGACTGTGGTGTCTGCCGTGTGTCACTGGCAGCTCCCATGGCAGCTGAGATCTCACATGTAGACACCCGCCCCATCGCAGGAGACCTGAAGGTGCTTGAATGGTGTGATAGGCCAGATAGAGCATAAGAGGAATCCATCTGAGGACTATGCCAGCTCTTCAAACAGGAGGCTAGAAAAAAAATCTAGTATCTTGCACACAGGGAACCTGAACTGCATGTATATTGGGAGTATCAGCACATCCCACAGAGAAAAACCGACATGAGAACACATGGCCTTGTCCAGAAATCAGAGTCTATACTTGAGGTGCTCGGGGTCAGGGTGAGATTGAAAGATTCTCAGTGGTCAAAGAAAAAAATAACCTCAGAATTAGTCAGACTTAGCAGTCTAATGTGTACAGGCTTGCACAAACATTTCTACAGGAAAGTGGTAAATGTTCTAGTCCCTGAGTCCTGGACCACCTCCTCAGCAGCCTTTATTGCCATTCTTAAGTAGCCTCCAACCAAAAGGTCACTTCAGAACTTCACTTATGCACACAAGCAAACACTTTCCAAGCTCTATTCCCAGGCCTAGATGTTCCCCTTTGGCCCTATAATTTCCAGTACAATGGACCAGATCCATTCCTACCAACTGGTGGGAACTGCAGTGGGATGTTTACTCCTTCCTTGATCACTCCTCCTGAAAAGAGTCAGTGGGACCAGCATATGCTAAGAGACATAGGAAAGGTGCTCCCTGCCAGTCAGGACACTAACAGGAGCATCAAGCTAGAGGGATGGAGAGCAGAAAGGAAGCAGCCAAGCGGCACTTCCTCTGTTGTCTACAGAGGCACGTGTAGACAGCTCGTGCAAGGGAAGGATGTTGGCCATCACACTAAGCCCTTGGAAGAAAGGCCTGGCCTACTGGACTTGATCCAGTAAACAACTCCCAAACAGGTCAGCGACAAAATAGCTTATATTAGGAAAATTAACTAGGCTCTTCAATCCCACAGAAAAAGAGTATAGTGAAAATACTTGTGTTATTTAAAAAAAAACAAACAAACAACAACAACAAGGTAGGCATGAGAGGATGGCTGAGTGCCTGGACAGAAGAAGGCACGAAGAAATTCTCTGCTTAGGGTGGTCAGACATGGCAGCAGAAAGCAACATTCAATGAAGTGGGTTTCTCACCTGGAATCACAAACCCAGGCTTAGTGCAGAACCATCGGCCTGGCACCCCGAAGGGGGAGAATGGATGATTTCTAAAGTGATTCTGCCAGGCTCCTAGAGAGATTCTCTGGCCTGGACAGCAAAACAAACTGAATCAGGCTCAAGTCCTTTCAGTTAATTTTTCCAGACTTATAAATTCCACCAGGTGGCTTATCAACATGGTGGTAGAACACAGAGAAGGCCATGGTTGGCAACAGTCAGGGATTTTAGAGCACTGAATGAATGTGTGGTTCGAGTGATCGGAGGAGGAGAAGGAGACCACGGGCAGGAGCCTCCCCAGGAGAATTCTTCATGGGAGAGCCAGGATGAATCCTGAATTTTAACGCTTAGGTAGAGTGGCACTGAAGACAGACAGGTGGAGTGAGGAGCTGCGACAGTAGATAAAGCATGGTGCCACACACTTTTGAGCAGGATGGTGTGGGCACCATGTCTAAATACCTCGGAAAACCAAACTGCTTCGTAGGCCTGCTCTTGTGGTCCTCTGTGGAAGGCTGGCGACTCCCACTGCAGCTGTGGGACTTTCCCCTCAGTCCCATTTTACAGCTACACTCTTTAGCTCACCATTTGTTTGTGAATATGCGCACATGTAATTCATTCACACTAAAGCCCAAAGCCGAAAGGATGTGTAATCCTTTAGTCAGGAAAGCCGATAAGCCTTTGAGGCTACTTAGAGAACTCCCTTCCTTCTCCCTGTAGCACCACAGCACAGGGCATTCATTACTTTTCTGTTCCTGTAATAAAAGTCAGGTGCCCAAAAGCAACTTAGCGGAAAAGGGGATTTACTTTGGCTTACGGTTTCAGAGGGATAGAGACCATCAAGGTGGGGAAACCATGGCAACACGGGAAGCGGGGCCAGACCGCTTCCTGTTGCCTGTAGGGGTCATTTTTTCTTGCCTTGCTGTGCATCCTGCAACAGTATTTGCATTTAAGCCTGGGATTTCCGGAAATAGCATCTTGACAATGTGCTTACTACAGAATAGGCCTCGGTAAACCGCCGTTTATACTTTTCTCTATGCTGTTGTGTAACTCTAAGGCAAACACTGGTAAGACAGAACCACAGGCACACCCACCCATTCCCCGCAGACACCCTTCTCTCTCCTCTCCTTATTCCCTGTGTCCAGCTGCACCTGCTTTCCCTTATGAGAGCCAAGCATTTCCTGCCCCAGCTCCCAGTCACAATGGTTCTTCTGCCAGTCACCCTGCCATGCCTCCTGACTTCTTGCTATCCTCCCCAGCATATCACGCAACTCTCCCTTCTCCGGGGAGACCAGAAACTCCCCGCGACTTCTTTTCTCCTATAATTTCCCTTTGTGACGTTTAATGTAATTTCTAAGTATCTTTTAATCCCATGTAAGTTTGTTGACTTACCATCTGACTTTCACACTGGAGTGTAGATCCTGAGTGGGCAAAGACTGTGTCTGTCTAACTGTTCATGATTCTCTGTAGCACCCAGCGCAGAGCCGAGCACATGAGCAAGCTCCTTTATCTGTTCCTATGGCCTCTCTTTGGATCACTTCCTACAATTTGCTTAGCAAATAAAAACTGAAGTTTTATGGAGCCCACAGTGTCTTTCACCAACATTTTTCCACACATTATTGAGTCATAGGTTGTGTTCTTGGGTTGTTCCATGACTTTCTAATCACATGACCAGTTGCCCAAGGACTGAACCTTTTTTGGAATATTTTTGAAATCTCTGTGTACCTACTCTAGTAGTGGAGAATGCTATTGGCGCTCAGCAGTTTCTTGATGAATGAAAGTCTAGGTCATCCTGACAAGCCAGCATTCCTCTTCTGCATGGCAGGGATCTCCACGTAACACACGTGGAGATAGATCCCTGGGCAGTGAGATCTTTTCCAGCCAGTGCTCTGCTTCTGTCTTCTCGGGTTACTACTTTCAGTTTCAATAAGAATCAAACAATCTTATCTTGAAAGGAGATTGAATTTATTTTCAATAAGAAGTCTGAATTGGAAGCTTATATATATATATTTTTCTCCAGAATGTAATAATGGCACAAGTAAAGCCTTACACTACACTTCTCATGTACGAGAGAACAAAGCTTTCAGGTAAACTTTCTGGTGAGGTAAAAGTAAGTCTGACAAAGCCCAACCTATTCAGTTTCCCCGGGAGCCTAGAGAGGCCGCACAGTAGAACCACTAGTCAAAGTGTGTTTCCAGCGTCCCGGACTGGGAGGAGACATGAAGGCCAATAGAGAGCTCCTTGGAGACTGTGTCTTCAAGCATGGGCAGGCTGGATTCTCACCTCTGCTAACCTCAGGAAACTGTCACTTTTGAAATTCCCCCCGTTTTGTTCCATTCACCAGCAAAGCAGAGCAAAACGGTCTAAGACAAGGATGCTACCGTTAAGTCCAAAGTGATCATTTACTAAATGGGAATTTCAGCATTCATTCTCTTATTTTAACTGCAGTTTCCCAGTTTATTGCCTTACTGATAAAGCCTCGGGTTGCTCATTTTCTCAGTATTCTGTCTGTCTGTCTAGATATGTATGCAAGTATGTATGTATGTTTGAACTTTTATGTGCTTCAGAAATTTTTGAAGACAGAACAAATTCTATGTAATCCCCACAGAATTGATAGTTGATCTTACAGCACGGGCCAGGTTTTAAAAACAGAAAGAAAGAAAGGTAAGTTTTGTGAAAATCAGCTACACCGTGAAACCTGCCAACATTGGTATGCTATCTTTTAGTTTGGTCTCCAGTTCTGGCTGGCATTATGACAACTACTGACAGGTACCTTCTCTCTGTTCTCAGACTGTGGCAGTCCTGAAGGTTGATGGAGGGCCATGCTATTCAAACAGCAGGTGTGGCTGAGACAGAAGCTCCTGGTGCTGGGAAGCCTTGCCGTTGGGAGCCTGCTGTATCTAGTTGCCAGAGTTGGGAGCTTGGATAGGTAGGTGGTTAAATACACGCTCTCCACTCACGCAGCCTTCTGTATGTCCTGATGTGAGCTTCCTTGGGATATAACTTTAAGTTAGTCCATTTGTTTTCGTCCCTCAAGACTCCCAAGAAAAACAGCTTTCTGTGCTGTTGATTTTGATTCATTAAGACCTTAAAGGTACAAGTTCCACACTGCTCAAACCAAGATGCTTCATTCAAATTAATCTGCATTCTGTGAGTACTGACACTCATGCTCAGAGGAGGCATAAAGATAGTCACATAATAAATAAATAAATACTATCATCGCTGACTAGAACCCAATGTGGCCTGTGTGTACCTGGTGCTGACCGTCAACCATGACGGCACTCTGGTGATCAAACTATGTCTCCTCATTTTGAAATTTATGAGTGGACAATTATGTATGCACCAGTAAAGAAGCTCATCGAGCTTGCAGTCCCCTGCCCTGGAAAGATGACTACGGGCATGGATTTTTAACTATGTTAATTAACTCTGGCGTTCGGGTACCCAACAAGAAGGCTGTCACACAAAATGATTTCCCAGAAGGCATTGGAAAATCCATAGAGAGGAAATTACAGCGCTGGGGGTTGGCTCTTAATAGGCAAAGTATTGAGAGGTGCTGGGCTTGCTGGAGTCCCCATCATGACAGTTGTGTGTCCCTGAGATGTTCTTTAATGGTTCTACAGCCAGGCTGACAGGAAAATATTGAGAGCTTAGTTTTTGAAATAAAGAAGATGCTATCACCCCCCCCCCCCGAACGAATTCTTGTAGTGAAAGACTGGATTCTTTGTCCTATTTGGTTCCCAAAGTCAACAAAAACACATCCACGTTTTTAAATGGAAATAGCTTCAGTTTTCTTCTCAGTATCCCGTCATTCCAGTGCTGTAAAACAATACAACAATGGTCCTTACTTTCCTTCAGCCAGTGTCCAGCTTAACTGATAAACATTAACCCCCTTTTGATGTTTTCTCATTAAAAATTCCTTCTACTTTGTAATTGTGGCAGATCTAACTGAGAGCTTATCACTCAGTGCTGGCATTCCAGTGTTTATTCTTGACGTGCCATTTAATAGTGAACAGCCTTGAGACAACAACATTTGACCTATGTCTATAACAGAACTTTAATATGAAGCCTTCCCAACATCATTAGTTGCCAATCATTGACATTTTATTGAGTAATTGGTCTTATAGCTATGAACACATTTATCAATCAGCTAGTAGCAGTTTTCCTCTTAACTCTTTAGTGGAACAGATTGTATAAGAAATTCCATTATCTGGTGGCCTTTCCCACAATACATTGCTTAAGATTTTGAATACATTTTGTCTGAAAATGACACGTGCTTCTTCAGGCTTACCCTTAGTAACTGGAGACTGCTTTCTCGGAGGAAGCCTGAGTTACTTCCTTTGTCTCTTCTAGTGTTAAATTCTGCTTTGGGTCTGGCAGCCTTAGAGCTGCTCTTCCAGGAGCAGGGGAGTGAGATATTTTCTCCTGGCTTTACCTGTTCTTTTTACTGGGGGCATCTATAAAACAACTGTCCTTATAGAGTTTGATCTTCCAGGGTAGGAAGTAGAAAGAAGAGGCAAGTTCAGAAAGAAGGCAGTCCTTTCCGGACAGAAGGAGTTCCATTCCTGCTTAGTTACTTCTGGAGAATAATATTTGAGAGATGATTGCTTCAGTGTTCACAGAAACGGTACTAGCATCATTCTACATACCTAGGAGACATGTCCATCAATGGCTGTCTCAGTGAAATAGTGCTAGCTTTATAGATAGAGCCGAAGAAGGGCAAAAGGGCTAATTTATACTATCCTCAACGGTGCTACAATCAAAAACACTTTTAACTATGTGTCTGTTGACAACATTTTAGCATTCAATTAGAACCCTAGAATAATAATTCCAATGAATTTATAAATTCACATTTTCCAAGAACATTAACTGTTGTCCTGATTCGTTTGATTTTTTTTAATGATACAAGATGAACTCAATTGGGAAGAGCGGGCTCTCTATTGAGAAAATACCTCTATCAGATTGGCCTGTAAACAAGCCTGTAGTGTAGTTTTTGATTGATGTGGAGGGCCCAGTACATTGTGGACAGTGCCACCCTTGGGCAGCTCATGCTAAGAAAGCAGACTAAACAAGCCAGTAAGTTGCTTTCCTCCAGGGCTTCTGCCTTAGTTTCTGCCACCACGTACTTGTCTTGGGTTCCCACCCTGATTTCCTTCCATGATGGACTGTGATATGGGAATGAAAGCTGAAATAAATCCTTTCCTCCATAAGATTGGCCTTGGCCATAGATGTTTTATCACAGCGAAAGGAACCCGAACCAAAACAGTGATAAGCCCTGTTTTCACAATGGATTTCCATTGCTTGTTTTCAACTTTCTGAAATGGATGTGAGTTGTCTCAAGAATCATAGAATAAATATTAGAAAAACTAACCCATGTTTTTATTTTTCTTGAAGAGTATGATATTGGCCTAGGTAAACAGAGCAAACCCAATGCCATGCCCCTAAGTTTTACACAATTGGTTGAGCATGGCTTGAAGATGCAGTGGGGCCTCTTGGGAAAGCAAGAGACAGCCTCATTGCCACAGAGAAGGAGAGAGACCCCAAATTACTGCAGTCATTAGAAAATTCCATCTGGAAGAAATAATTTAATAGCCATTTTGATTAGTATTATCCCCTTTGACCAATAAGCCTAAAATGACTTCCTAAATCAACCTAGTTGACTTTTTAGAGTGAATTTCAACTTATCATCAGATTACATATAAAGGTACACACAATTTTCTAACCATACGTACAGGCCATGTTGAAGTAGTCATTTTGTTTTAATATTATTGCGGCTATTACTGCATCTTTCTCAGAAAAATATTAAGTTGTTCATCGTTCCTGGCTCTATCCATTGCATTTCTTATCTTATAAGCTCTAGCTCCTGAATTAAATTGCGTGGGATGAAAATTTGGGATTTCTGGCCCCATCAAAGTCTTTCTTCCAGATTTCTGGTTGCAGGAGTGGTGGGTCATACACAGAACAGTGATGCTTGGGATTGTTCATACAATCAGCAGAATGGATGTAGAAACTTGACCTTTTTAGATAGAAATGAAAAGAGAGTCAAAAGTAGAGCCCTCCTCTGCCTATCCCCAAGGATGGGGTCAGAAATTCTCACAGAATAAAAACGTTCAGCAAGGACCAAGACTGGAGTTCTGCATGATGGTGATGCAAAGAGCCAACCACAAAGATTGGAGTCCCCTTTCCAACTGTATCTCAAGGATCCTAAGGGGCCATGTGAATGGTGCTAGGCTGCCAAAGGAGAAGAAACAATTCCACACAACGCTTGAAATAAATCGTCTCCTCTTTGCCCTTCAGCATCTTAGCTGAAGATTATAATCTTCTGCCTTCCCAATTTCTAAATGATTTTAACTGGTGAGCTGTTGCTGTTAAAAAGCTATTAGTATGGCTGGTGTCACTTGTCTATCTTGTACTGTGAGCATAAGTACACGCCGTAGTCAATTAAGTGCTTGGTGAATAAAAATTTTAAGGAGCACTAATAAAAAAAAATCCCATCAATTATGTGTGCTCCACTGAACACAGGGTTGCTTAACATAAAATTTTCTAAACATATGTTCATAATGGATCGCAGCAGCCTGGGACCCAGTGGCTTTATTTATGCATGTAGAATCTGAGTCTGGGCACAGATGTAGAACAATGAGAAGTTAAGTGGGAATAAGTTTCTTACGGTGTCTCTCTTCGGCTTGCAGGCTCCAGCCCATTTGCCCTGTTGAAAACCGATTTGGTGGCTCCCACAGTCAGGCTGAGTTCCCTCTCCGGGCCCTGCAGTTTAAGAGAGGTCTTCTGCATGAGTTCCGCAAGGGCAACTCTTCCAAGGAGCAGGTTCGCCTCCATGACCTGGTCCAGCAGCTCCCGAAAGCCATCATCATTGGGGTACGGAAAGGGGGCACTAGGGCCCTGCTAGAGATGTTGAACCTCCATCCTGCTGTGGTCAAAGCTTCTCAAGAGATCCACTTCTTTGACAACGATGAGAACTATGCCAAGGGTATTGAGTGGTACAGGAAAAAAATGCCTTTTTCCTACCCTCAGCAAATCACAATTGAAAAGAGCCCGGCCTATTTCATCACAGAAGAAGTTCCGGAAAGGATTTACAAAATGAACTCATCCATCAAGCTGTTGATCATTGTCAGGGAGCCGACCACACGAGCGATTTCTGATTACACTCAGGTGCTAGAGGGGAAGGAGAGGAAGAACAAAACCTACTATAAGTTCGAGAAGCTAGCCATAGACCCTAATACCTGCGAGGTGAACACGAAGTACAAGGCGGTTAGGACCAGCATCTACACGAAACATCTGGAGCGCTGGCTGAAGTACTTTCCGATTGAACAGTTCCATGTCGTGGATGGAGACCGTCTCATCACCGAGCCTCTGCCAGAACTACAGCTCGTGGAGAAGTTCTTGAACCTTCCTCCGAGGATAAGTCAGTACAATTTATATTTCAACGCTACCAGAGGGTTTTACTGTTTGCGATTTAACATTATCTTTAATAAGTGCCTGGCGGGCAGCAAGGGGCGCATCCATCCAGAGGTAGACCCCTCTGTTGTTACCAAATTGCGCAAATTCTTTCATCCCTTTAATCAAAAGTTTTACCAGATCACTGGGAGGACATTGAACTGGCCCTAAAACAATCCATCACACAACACCGTGTGTTGTCCCTGGAGACACGTGGCGGCGTCTCCTCTAGATTTAAATATGCACTTTCCCAGACTCAGCTACCCAGTTCATTTCCCCGTGAATACTTGTACATATGCGGTGTGTGACCAAATGCAAGATCAATTCTTTTTCTACTGAGAATTTACAAAAGAGTGAACACTAAATTTCTGCCTGCAGAGTTGCACCTTTGAAGCTATTTACAAAAGAAGAGTGGAGGTGGTGGGACTGAGGGAAAGTGACTTCAGATAATCTCGAGTTAGTCTTCCTTGGGTTCAGAACTTGTCACCCGCCATTTTCATAGATTTAAGCCAAAAGATGAATGTGTGAAAATGTACCAATGGCTACGAAGCGTCAGGAAGTGGAGGATTCAGTTTTCTGGTTTTTTTTGGGTTTTGTTTAGTTTTGTTTTGTTGGTTTTTGTTTCTTGTTTTGTTGTCTTAAGTGAAGCTGGCTCTTTAATACAAATACCGGGTTGGTGCCATGAAAATAGAATATGCTATTTTTTTTTGTTATTTAAAAGAATGTCCTATCTCATAAAATTGACATGGTTCCAAAGTTCCTGTGGTGGTTTTGCACTATTGCTTCCTTGTATGGACCATGGTGTCATTTGTAGCATGTCAATCACGTGCTGGAGAGTCAAGTCCTTTCACTTCCATGTGTATGTCAACACAGAGAAATGTCCTGTACATATTGTAAATGTTGTAAATATCAGTTTCACACTAAGTAATTCTATTTTGTAAACTGAATATGGCTATTTAATTTATTGTGAAAATTAAATTTATTGTGGTATTTAAAATGGAATGGATTAAAATTACACTATGTGCAACTTTTCTTATAAACTCCTTTTACTGTGTGCCCCCTTTTGGAGTGGGGAGGCTCTCTCTCTCTCTCTCTCTCTCTCTCTCTCTGTGTGTGTGTGTGTGTGTGTGTGTGTGTGTAAAAGAAAGAAAGAGGGAGGGAGGGAGGGAGGGAGAGAGAGAGAGAGAGAGCTGTGCATGCATGGAGCGCCCTCTGCTGGCCTCCAGCGCCGAAGCTCTGTCCTTCTGAGGGAATATGAAGTCATTCACTTCGCCTCTAGATTTCCAATCCCCTGTGAAAGGGAGGTTGAGAACACTTTACAAACATCTCAACCTTCTGGAAATCAAGGAAGAACAGCCACCCCAGAGAACTCTGGTGCTGCTCTGACCCCAAGTGTGTACATAGAATCCACATGCTGTTGTGCCAGAGAGAAAAGAGAAGCAACAGAATCACAATTGCCTTTGAAGCTCCAATCACTGTTGGACCAGGAAATAAAATAATAGTAGAATGCATGTGTGGTTTCTGTACTGAGAGCTGCTGGTGCTGCACCAATGCAAGAACAGTTTCAGAACTCACTTTGACAGGAAAATGACTTAATCTGCTCAGACCAAACCGCACAGCTCTGCCATGAACAAGCAGATGGCCCGCATTCCCACCCTGAGAAAGGAGCACTAAACTGGGTACCTTGGGAGTATCAGAGACCAACTTTGACCTAAACGCCCTTCAGAAAAGGGCAGGGAGAGTTATAACAGCATAAACACTGGGGCATCTGCACGTGTAGTTGCTTAGCAGGGAGGAAATGTTTGAGAAGGCTCCGCCAAACACTAGGCTGCATAGAGAGTCTGTCAACCACAGTAATTTCCCCTTGTGGAAATAAGGGTCTGTTTTCTCACCTTTCTCATGTCCAGTAATTTGATGATGATCTAAAAAAAAAAGTAGTCCTTCCTTTTCCAATACCAGTGAGCATGGTCTCTCCAGCCACAGCTTTAGCCATCCTCTCTTCTGTCAGAGTTAACAGGACACTCCGGCCCCAGCATGACACTGGCAGGACAACAGCACAGGCTGGCTGACAGGTCCTCTCTGCACAATGACTCTGGAAGGCTAGTAAGAGGTCTACATGTCAGTCACTTCTCTCCTAAGCAGGAAGGAAGCCAATAGAAAAGGTCTGTTCCAGTCTTCCTGGTGTTTCAACTCTCAGATAACCATCAGACCAAGCTCTCTGAATCCTACATTCCAGGGCATTACCACTGGGTTGATATTAATCTCACACAGGTACTACAAGGGCACAATACAGTTAATACGGACCTATAGCAGCAACTATTAAATTATGCCTCCACTGAAACACTGGCGTTTCAACCCCAGCTAATGAATTGAAATGACCCAGTATTTACTTTCTTTGTTATATATTGGCAAATTTGGCCAGTATCACTTAACACATACAAAATGATGCTATGATTTTTTAATGTGATGCAAAATGATCAAATTAAGTGAATTAACATATCTATCACCTCAAACTCTTACTATTTTATTTGTGTGATGAAAATATTAGAAATTTACTCCTAGTGCTATTCATTCAGTCTTGAATTATCAGTTGCATTCAGTATGCTGTACCTGATCTGAAAAACAAACAAACAAATGAACAGATTTTTCCTTCTAACCAAGATTTAAAAAGCTACATGTGGAATCATCACACTTTATTCTAAGATTCCATTTGACTTAAGCCAACCTTTATACCTTTAGTTTGAGCTCAACAAGTTCAGGACACCAAAGGCATCATGATTTCCAGTTGCTGCACTTTCAAAATGAGTTGATTTAAAGCTTTCAAAGCCAGGGCCTCATCTGGCAGACCTTGGGGGTGGCAGGCTTCATTTCCCTGGAAAAGGAATCACAGCAGATGCGATTAAGCCAGGTAGAGAAATAAAGAGCATATGAGTTAATAGCACACTTCCACTGTGGCCTGGAAGGCCCCCTGTTTAGAAAGAAGTGCCCTGTTGTCATCAGAAAGGCAGTAGATGACTAGAAAAATCGACAGCTCATTATGGTCACTGCACCAGGGCTCTTTTTGATGAGTTATTGTTTTTCCATTATGAACACCTTGTGTTCCTCCCAGAGGCTTGGTGGCACTGAATAGCTTCATCATCAGATAGATTCCGCTGGAAACAGAACAGTTTAGCAATGACAACATTTCCAGTGAGTCATAAAGTCGGAACAAACATTTTGGAGCCCAAGGAATTTCAATTATAATTATACAAAGAACTCAAGGTAGAAAAAGAGAGCATGAGTTGCTCAGACCTGAAGATGGCCATCTTCAAAGCCCAAGCTCATTTCCCACCCTCCTGAAACCACCACACATAAAGCCACCCTTGATTCAAGCACTAATAATTCTCACTATGTGCAGTACAATACAAGAACCATCTAAGATAGATACTTTGACCCACAGTTAATGTTGTTGACTCAAAGGATTACAGGTCCTTCATAATCATGCATGACCGTAGATTTAGGGAATGTATATTGATGGACTGTGAAGAATATTCTATTGCCAGGCAGAGTGCTACTTCATAGGCCAATGTAACCTTCTGCGTACATGGTTCGAGGCTGTGTCACAGGGTACAAGGATCATCTTAGCGGAGAAGCTCTGGGAGTAAGAGACACTGCAGACTCCTCAAGGGAGGATGGTGACCAAGAACAGTCTAAGTTCTAGCCCGGACGACAAGTTATTGTTTTGTCTTATCAGCCGATTGCTAAATCAGATTGCCTTTGTAAGCTCAGTGCCAGGATTTGGGTCATAGTGTCTCACAGCTGAAATCTTTTGTACTCTTTTGCACACAGTTGGCGGCTATTTTTCATTATGGAGAAGGGTCTGTACTCTAAGCAAAATGGGAAAACTACAGAAACAACCCTCCTGAAAATGACAAAATACAGCAAAACCTTAGCAACATAAGGTATCAAGGTAGAAATACAGAATATTTCAAAATAAATTTAAAGCAAATCTTACCAGAAAGTATCAAGATATACAGCAGCGTATTTTAAAAACAAAAGAGCCAAATTCATATTATTCAGGTATTTTTAAGAAAATACTCACATCTCCTTGCATCTGTTCATGAATTTTTTTAAACTAGCAAGTCACTCTTTAAAAGCTACTACAAACATAAAATGTAACCAAAATAGGACCATTTGATAACGTTCTGATTAATGATGCCTTACTGTACATCTTACAGCTCCTTTATATTTTCAATTTTTAGTGAGCTATTAAAATGTTTTATTTTGCCTTCATATTTTGCCTTCATAAATGTATGTGTCACCATGAGCATACCTGACTTCCTCAGCAGTCAACGGAAGGTATCAGAGTCCCTGAAGCTAGAGTTACATGTGCATGTGAGACACCATGCAAACCTAGGTCCTCTGGAGGAGTATCAAGTGCTCTTAACCACCGAGTCACCTCTCCAGACACTATTTTCAATTTTTTAATATTGCATACTATTAAATTTCATTGTCCCTTCCTTGAATCTAAGAACTACTTCATAATAATTAGTAATGGACTGGGGACTTGAGAAGGAGGACAGCAGTATGCATGTCCCACCAGATTCGTGCTACCATCTCATCTCTATGAAGAAGCTTGATTGAAAAGGCAAACCCTTCTGGTCTCACAAAGTGAGCAAACTTGGGCTTTCCAGGCCAGGTCTATCACCAATCTGTGAGCCTTGTCAGCCTACCAGCTCTTCAGAGCTGTGATGAAAGGATTTACTCTGCAAAAGCAGCCTTAGAGAGGTGACTCGGGTCAGCCTTAGAGAGGTGACTCGGGTCAGCCTTAGAGAGGTGACAAGTGGTGTCATTTTGAAGAAGAAGTTGACTTTGTTCTTTTATAAATGAACACACCTCAACTTTGCACTTCCTTCTCATTCATGGCCTCAAACAAAACTACCTGTCCCTTTGGTAAATTAGCCCTGAGGCAAATAAAGCATAGACACAAAGCAGGGGAGGAAAACTCATAATGGCTGCTTGTCAGGTAAGAGAACCTTGATCCTGATCCTAGTTTTAATATAGATCTTTAAGTGTGAAACTTTTTGGTCACACCTGCTGACAGTGTGTCCACCAAATAGAATTCATAGTGTAAACAGGTGAGTCCAAACTGAGACAGTATAGAAGAACAAATAGCTTGGAGAAGCGGAACAAAAATGTAGAAAGCATGCCAAGCTGGAAGATCGCATGTCTTTCCAGGATGTGAGCACAGCAGAATGAAGAAAACAGCCGAGCACAATCCGAGGTGTGAATGAGTCTAGCAGAATCAGGAAAGCCGGGAAAGGGTCGCATGCAAGATTGAACGCTCACAAAGGAACATAGTACTAGACTACCCTGGGACCTAGATGAGTCAGACCATCACACCCCAGAGGGTACATTGCCTGACACCAGGGCAGGCCTCTCTCCTTGGTTCTGCAACCAAATGAGACTAAGGTTTTACAAAAGAAAATAAGCTAAAATGATAATTCCAAAAGTTTCCCTTCAAGGAGAAAATTTTCACATAGTGGGTACTGAAAGAAAGTGTTGTTTTCTTCCCTTCCTTCTTTCCTCTCCCCTTCCCTCACTTTGTTTCTTCTAGCGTTTCATTGCAACGGATAGGGTCTTCTGTCCTTGCCTCATCTTCTCCCCCAGGACTGAGGCAAATGTGCCTTTTCAGAGCCAACTCAGAGGGTATGCTGAAGCAGTCACACACTGAAAGGTCACACTATATCCTCCACCCATCTTAATCTCAGAAACTTGGAACTGTAGTTCCCGGCCTGGCAAAGGACTCTGAAGCTATGTTTCAGGCAAAGATTTTAACATGGAGATGCTGTCCTAGGGGACCTCTGTCATGCTCACAGAATCAAAAGGGTCCTCGAGAATTAAAGATTCAGGCAGAGGAGGACGGTAGGAGAGGTAGAACTGATAAAAGAGAGATGTAAAATTATAGGCTTTGAAGTTGGAGAGAGGGGCCACGAGTCCAGGACTATGCTCAGCAACTAAAAGTTGAGAAAGAAAAAGATAAGAAGATTAATTTCC